GTCTTTTAGTCTTTTCATCATCATAACCAATTTTAATTCTTATCTACTTTATTCATATAAATATATTTGGTTTGCCATCTTTAATCCTGTGGGACAAAGTTGTATAAAGGCTCAATTACACCTATATAATAACTTAGAAATTAAACCATTGAAAATCTGGTTCTAGGATTGGATCCAGCTCCACCCAGACTCCTTTTTGAGAAGGAGTTTAGAAAGCAAGAGTGTCCTTTCTGCACTTTGTAACTGAACAGGGCAGAGGGCTCTTCCCAATAGACTTTGTCTGAAGCTCCCACTCTGCCCCTGACACTCTTATAACAATTACCTTTCATTAAATAACAATTATTTTGTTATCTGACTCTAAAAGCATTTTCTGTGGAAGAAGCTTATCAGTGTGTAGCATTGTAATGTAAATGACTCAGCATAAATACCTGCGTCATTTTTCATTATTAATTTTAAAAAATCTATACCAGAATACTTAGAGAAGCATACATAATTTTCCAAGTTTTAAATAACATATGTGATATTTACGTTCCCTTTAGAAAAGACAATGGCACTTTCTCACCTTTGTTATCTTCAGAGAACCCACTATCAAGCAATTACTTATGCATTTTAAGTAATGGTTTTGCATTTCTGCTCCAGTTTTGCCAAAACTAAAATACTCTGTTCAGATGCATCTGTTCAATACCTGAGTCATTTTTCATTATTAATTTTTTAAAAATCTATACCAGAATACTTAGAGAAGCATACATAATTTTCCAAGTTTTAAATAACATATGTGATATTTACGTTCCCTTTAGAAAAGACAATGGCACTTTCTCACCTTTGCTATCTTCAGAGAGTTTACATTGTCAAGAACCCACTATCAAGCAATTACTTATGCATTTTAAGTAATGGTTTTGCATTTCTGCTCCAGTTTTGCCAAAACTAAAATACTCTGTTCAGATGAATGTTTTCCAGTGACATCTATGATTGCTTTCTTTCATTTATTCAGTGAACCAGCTGTGTTGACTGATGTCTGAGAAATCAAGTTCAGTCACAGAATAATTCCATTGTAGTCAATTTAGTTGCAGCAAAGACCAATTTGACCCATGGAGCTCTGTATATTGCAAAAGGTCATGCAGCCTGTCAGTAGTTCAGACAGGATTTAAATAGAGGATCCTCCTGAATCCCAATTCAAATGAGACTCTTTTGACATCATCATAGTGTCTACATATTCAGACTGACATTTTGTCACTCAGAGCACTGCTTATCTGTTGCCACACCAAAAAGTGACTGTCATGGCTTCAGCCACATGCACTCATTCTTTATTTCCATTTATTTATAACTCTCTCCTCTATTCAGTGGCAGCTGTTAAAACCAACGTGCATTTCCTTTCTCTCTCCCTCCTGGGAGCTGTGGATGAAGAAGAGGTTTCAGACACATTTCAGGAGGGCAGTAGCAGGGTACTGACCCCAGCCTGGGAACCCAGCAGTTTCATCAGTGCCAGAGCAGCAGCTTGGCAGCTGAAAGCAGCTCTACACAGCACAGAGCATGCCTGCATGGGATGCTGACAGTTACAATAATACTCCGATTATCAAAGACCCTCACTGAATGTAGTAGTGGATAATGTGATTTATTGAATCCCCTTCTAGTCCTGTATTTGTATGATGAAGCTAAAAAGGATTTTATGGAGGCAAGGAAAAGGATGGTCATCATTCTGAATATCTACAAGCAATCACAAGGAAGCTGTGACTTACCTCATTGTTATACTACTTCTTTATTATTATTTCCCTACAGTAACTTTATATTACTTAGAAAGTAATTATTTTCTTGTTTTCCTCTTTCACAATGTATTTTTCATTGTAATATAAACCCTAACTTATTTGAAATTATTCATGTCTGTCACAATACCATCATCATTATATTTCACATAAAACAGAACAAAATGTGCTTTTGAGCATTACCTGTAACTCAGAAGTTCCTTCTCTACAGTCCTCAAATTTGTCAAATTCTTTATAGTGTAAGAGATTTAGATTTGTAATTGTAAACATAACATTTACAGTAATTTCATTATTATATATTTATTATATAAAATTTTGTACATAATTCCATTTAATGTTTTGATTAAACTTTACTGTGAAGCATTTCATAGTTATGTATGTGTATACACACACATACACACACACACATATATATATATATGAGCTGATTGTGTAACAGTCTTTCATTGGGTACCTTAACATCCAACATGATTTGAAATTCTGTTTGCCTCTGCCAAGTGAATTTTGCCCCTCAAGTTCCCTCCTGAAGAGGCTGGATACCATAAGGGTGGTTACTTCTGCACACTGTAATTAGAAGGGCAAGGATGGGCTTTCTGGTTATGTCCCAGTATGGGCCAGTTTTGTCAGACAGGCTTTTACCAGCTTAGTAGAATTTCTTTTGGTGCTAAATTTCTCTGCTAGTAAAAATTCCTGTATAGCCAATATCAGAGTGGTGAAATTTTTTTTTCTAGGATAGTTTATTTCACTCAGACATCCAGCACAAACTGTTCCAGCAAGTGTGGGTTTTTTTCTGCAATAAACTGCATCTGCACTGTAACAGTAAACATTGCCCAGTATATAGCAAACCTCAGCCAACAGGGATTTTGAACTATGACTTCATATTCTAGGATGGAGTGAGAGATGGCACAACATTTTTACTCTGTCATCTAAGAGGATTTTCAATTAAGTTCAGATAGTTCAGTTATAAAGCTGTAACATTTTAACTGTAAGAATTTCTATTTTTTTCTTGCTTTAGATTGTGCTTCAGTTACTGGCCAAGGCAATGAGTATCTTGCTCTTACACAGCTTATGTCAACCAACTAAATTAGACTTTGTGAAAAAGATATTAATACTACACTTGAGAGATCAAAACAATACACTGATAAACTTCAGTTGTGAAGAAGGTTAAACCTTTCATCAAAAGCAATTTTATAATCAAGTTAGTCAAGCTGTCCTGCCCATGATTAATGTACTTATCTCTAAGGGAAAGACACCACTGCAGATAAAATTCATGAAGTACTAACCATGCAATTCCAATTAAGATACAGGTTGTTGCATCAAACAAATTAAGCTAGTTTAAGGAACTTACGCTTCCAAGTAGTTAATAAAATGGTATACCCCAAAAATTTCAAGTAAAAATTATTCTGTTTCAACAGTTAAACTTCATTGTGAGGAAAAAGAAATGCACTGACCCCTAAATAACCCCACTCTCCTATCCCTAAGTATTTGTGCTTCTCTGCAGTACAAAGAAGCTCTCATAACTTTTCTGCTTTCATAAACAGAGGACCATATATAGAGTCAGTCTGAGTAGCAAAAGTGCATGAGTAGTCAGGAGTACATGCCACTGATGGAAATAAAATTATTAAATCTCCATTTCTTAAGATGAGATGCCAAGCAAAAACTCTTACCTCATGTACAGATGGCTGGAACCTTCCCATCTGTTAGTAACTTCTGGCTTCCAACCCCTGCAGGATGCTAACATCAGTCCTCTGAACATATTAACGTGTCTGGGGAGTATCAGGAGTCAGAGAGATCCGTGTTCTGGGTCTACACAACTACTTCAGCACAGATATTCCCTTGGGACTTTTCCTCAGTTTAGATATGTTTGTGTGTATAACACAAGGAAAAATCAAAACCCACCCAAGAAGCCGTACTAGACTGAGATCTCAACTGGCTCCAGGGAATAGTGAAGCAGGAAACAAGTTTAAAATCCTGGTTCTGTTGAACAGCACCTCTGGAGTGGGATGTTCTCATGTTGTGCATGCTGGTGGGGCACAGTTGGTAATACACTGATATACTTCTAGCAGTGTCAGATATTATTTGAACAACAAAACAGTATCATTCTTCACTGGGCATGTTTCCTTTTAAGTTGACAATTGCATGCTGCACAGATACCAGGTGTCTTTACTTACAGCCTCCAACCACTGACACCTGTATTTGTAGTACAGAAAAAATGCATTTACTAAAGCAGAGCCTCCCAAGCTGTGGCTTTTGTAGCACTGGTGATACACAAACTACTTCCACACCATATGTGGAGCCAGGGCTGCCTACCAGGAGATACTCAGTAGAAGTGTAAGATGAGCATCCCAAATCTGCTGCTGTTGGCAATCAGCTACCACCAGCCTGGAGGCACTTACCTAGTGGGTTACACAGATTTCTATACATAGGCAGTAATTGTTAACAATAGCTGTTAATGGTCATTGATCAGAACAGCTTTATTATCTAAATCATTCAGGAGATCTTAGACTCCATAAAGGAACAGCAGAAATAACTTCAATCAATACAGATTTGTGTTCAATAATTATGAGTAGAAGTCATTGCTACAAGGCCAGCTTAGCATTAGATATAGTGGTAGATGAAACGATCAGGAAATATCAGGCAAGAAGGAGAAGAAGAAATAAATTAGGAATTTCCACTGGCAAAGTTCAGCAAATCTTCCTGACAATAAGCAACCAATATATATCTGTACCACTGTGTAAAGAACATAGAAAACAGATAACTCACACAGAACAAGGCAGCTTGATAGTTTTATGATTCCTTTACCTTAAGGAAACTAAAAGAATAACAGATAACAAAAGAGTAAGGCCCATATTTCTAGTCTCCCAAGACAAGCATTGAGAACTTTGGCCTTGAACATAGGTAGGAATTCTTTACCAATGCACCATACATCCAGTCCCAAGCTTCGAGATAAAATGGACATAAACGTGTTATCAGAGCTCCAGACAGTCTTAGATTTCATATCACTGCTAGATATGGGGTGTTTTTCACATCACACCTGAATAGCTTTACTCTATGCCATCCACTGTCCTTAAGGAAGTAAGGGAATATTTTAAAATTATGTCTTTATTTCTGACAACCCAATTCCTCTGGGCTGGGTGCCTCGAAATGCCTCAATTCTCAGCCCATAGTCTGGAAACTTCTGCCAGACACGAGCAGGGAGTGAGGGGATGGTTGTGACCCAGCACCTGAAGTGACTCGGACACGAGTTTTCCATCCCCGAGGCCGAAGGGATGCAGGTGTCTGCAGGGTGGGCTGTTCTGAGGGAGCTTGGCCTTGCAGCTGCCGTGAGTGCCGGTACCCGGGGACAGCGGCAGTGCCCCGGGCTGCCGACACAGCCGAGCCCAGGAAACTTTGCCCGGCAGCACCCGGTGGTAGGGGTATGCCCGTGCTCCCAAACGGGACTGCAGGCAGCGCTTACCGCCCCTCGGAGCCGGCCAGGAGCACACCTGAGTGCTTCCCTTTTGCCGGTGCCGAGGAGCAGCCCGGCCTCCAGGGGCAGAACGTGGCCGGCAGCTCTGACACTGTCCCGCCGTGGCTCCGGGACTGCCCGCGTCCCTCAGACACGGCCCCCCGCCGCCATCTTGCTAACGGCGCCGCTCCAGGGCGCGGGGCCGGGCGCTGTGGTGCCCTCTGCCCGCCGCGGTGAGGGGCCGGGCGTCGCGGAGCCCCGGCTCGCCATGGCGGGGCGCCGGGCGCTGTGGAGCTACTCCGTGCAGCTCGTCGCTCTGCCCTCAGCGGCGGGCTGGTCAGGTGGAACGCCGCAGCCGTTTAACAGCTCCTACCGGAGACCTACAGAGCCTCCGCCGTGCAAGGGGTGGAGCGGCACCATGGAGGAGGAGGAGAAGGGGGACGAGACTCTTCAGGGGCGGCAGCAGCAGCCGGGGAGGTGAGCGGCGCTCCAGCGGCAGCAGCGCTCTGGGGCCGGGGGTCTCTGCCCCCGCGCCTCCCTGTGAGCAGGGGGAACCGGACCGAGCCGAGCGGCGGCTCCCGCCCCGTGCCCGTCCGGAGGGCAGGCACTGCCCGGGCCGCCGCCGTCAGAGCCCGGCTGGCGGCCGGAGGAGCGGAGCACCTGCTCCGAGCGCGGCCGCGGGGCGCTCCACACACACCCACGGTACCGGGGCCCCGCCGGTGAGTGTGGGGTGACCGGGCTGAGCCGCTGCGGGAAGCGGTGGGAGCGGGGTGGAGCGGGAGCGGGCACCCGCTCGGAGAAGTTCGCGGGTGGGCGGGCGAGGTGCGTGGGGCCGGCGAGCCCGGCTCCGGCCGGGCAGGAGCGGCACAGCCCGGCTGCCCGCGGAGCTCGGCTGTGCCCCTGCCCCGCTCGGCACGGACCCCCACGGGCGCCAGCTCCAACACCAGCTGCGGCCGGGGCATCCTTTCGCTCCGGCGAAAGAAACCCTGCAAGAAAAGTCCTGCGTTCGCTCAAGGCTTTCGTTTCTGTCACTTGACAGTAAAACATGCTGCAGCAGCGCTCGGGAAGAAACAAGTTATATAATCAAAAAAAAAAAAGAAAAAAAAATCCGCTTCATAGTGTCGGCGGCTTGGAGAATGTTTTCTTTTGAAGAGGAGACACGAACAGATGTTTCTGTTCGAATTGTGTAGTGCGAAGTGGAGGATGTTAAGGAGGTCATTTAATGTAATTAGTGCAGTCAAATAATCTCAATGATCGTTAATTATCTCTAGCTAGCAAGGGTTTGGGGAAAGTGTTTGTTGACTGCATGCAGTAAAATTAATGAACTTATGCAGAAATGTTTTTTCTGGTGATGATTATGATTTCTTCCATTTGCTAAATGGCGATTATGAAGCAAGTTTTTAGTTTTAGAGGCAAGTGCTATTTGTACTTAAGTATTTTTTCTTTAATTCTCAAACTGCACTGACTAAAGTGGCATCAAAATTAAAGGTAGTAACAGGAAAACTACTTCAGTTTCCTTGCAAAAAAAACTTTGAAAAGAGTATTTTTTATTTATAGTAGCAGCTGTATTAGTTAAGAAAGTAGGAAGCTTATCTTATTTTGTAGATAACATTTTGAGGAAGACAAGAATATTCTTCTTTTTACTTATTAATTCAAGAATTATTGCAACAATGGCTTTCAAAATATCCCAAATTATCTCTAACTGAAATGCCTATTCTAAAAAACAATGGGAATTTTTAATACCTGGAGGTTGGAAAGCCCTGTTTGATTCAGTTATGGATGATGGAGGGTTGGTTTTGGGAGAGGAGGGAAGTAAGGGATGACAGTGAAACTGTTCAAATATAAATAACAGTTATTCAGCTTCTGCTTGGCCTCAAATCAAAAGAGATGTGAAGCCTTTTTAAGAGGAAGCAATCCACTATTATAATTTTGTTCACTTGCATTAACTAAGTAGATTTGAGGAACAACCAGGAGAAAAATGCTATTTCCTCAGCCTTTATAAGCTCAAGATTGAACCAAAACTGTTAATTCTTCATTCAGAAATAGCTTTTAAGTTCTTTTCAGCAAAAAAGGAAAGCAATTCTTTTGTCTGAGATGAGAAAAACAGAAATGCTGCTATATTAATTAGTGTCTTTATATGTAACACCTGCAGTGAAATTAGTTTTGTTTTTTGTCACATCTGTGAATCCTTTCTTTATCTCCCCTTAATTTTTTTCAGTCTACTGCTTGAACTTTATAGGCTGCAGTGTGAGCCCTACTTCTAATACATTCAGAGCCAGGACCATGGAAAATCACTTGATTACCTTGTGCCTAAAGATTTGAGCAAAAAGGATTTTTCTGTAAGCTAAGTGTTGCACTTAGTTTACATATTCTTAGAAAATCTAGGAAGGAAGTTATGTGTTATATACTCATGACATATAACATCTTGGTGTTTAGCAGCTGTGCAAGAAAGGAGTAATTTTGGGTTTGAACAGCCTACAATTGTGCCCAAGTAGATAAAACTGGGAAAGCTGTTCAGGAAAGAGAACTGGGCATTGCGAGCTGACAGTGTGCAAAACAAAGTTTGATAAGATAAGTTTGATAAGTGAAAAATTGGGTGTTGAAGAATTTCTGTCAAGAGTTACTTCTTCTGTAAGACCTGTTAGCTGTGGTTGGAGTTGGAAGTTCTACTGCCTGATGAGTAAAGCTTATGATATTACAACAGGTTTTATTGCTGGAAATATTTTTGTCATGCTTTGGACTGGTTTTTGTGGGAAGGCTTCGGTGATATTCAACTGTTTCTGATAAGAATGTGGCAATAGCAAGGTGTTTATGTGTGTCTGTTCAGCTGTGTTTGCATGAAACACTTTGTCTCCTTAAAACACCTACCTCTTAAGGATGGTGCCTTGAAAATTAGTAGATGGCTCATGTTTGTGTTGGAAGTATACCTTGACTCTTTCATAAGAAGAAAAACCCAAACCACACAACTTCCAGTATTAACACTTCTGTTGTTGACTAACAACCAAAGCATTTGCATTTCGTTTAGAGTACATGAAGACATTGTAATCTAGAGTTGTGGGGATGGAATCAAAGGCCCTTTATATTTAGGGGAAAAGGGTGTAATGAAAAACATTTACGTATCGTGATGTTTCCAGTTTCCTTCAGGATTGATGTTTTGCTGTGTCTCTGTACTGTTCCTTGGAATTTCTTCTTAAAGTGGGTGTGTTGCAGTTAAAGAACTATAAGGGTGCTGTATTGGGTGGGTTTTCTGGCTTTCCAGTATGAAGTTTGGATGTTCAAAACTTTCATTATTTAGGAAGGCGGGTGACCTTTTGGCTTAACTTATTTTAAAGTTGGCCTTTGAACAGGTGCATTGAAGAAAAACATCTATTTCAGTAAAAAAAATAATGTAAAATTTCACTTCCTTCTCTTACCTGATCTGGAAATTATTTGATTGGATTTCCATAAATTTGAATTCAAATGTTAAAAATAATTCTGTAAAATCCATATATGTATGGGCTGCGTGTAAATACATAGAGAGAAAGAATGTCATTAGGACAAGGAAAAGTTGATTTTTTAATTGAAAATCGAGTAGAATAGAAAGAATTTGGGGAAGTATTTTCATGTTGCAGAGAAACTACGCTGGACCCAATGTGCCTGGACCTTGAACTGAAGAGGGAATCAAAATAGACAACCCTTGAAATACGAATATAAACAAAAATTTTATGACTGTCTATTAACTTAAAAATAGAATGGAGTTCTTGGGTGTTGCTGCACTTCCTGGACAACTGAGGTTTTATAGAGTTTTAAAGGATTATTCTTGATGTGAGTCTAGAGGAAGTTTGCATAGGTGTTTGTTTCTTTCTGGCGTGGGGAGATGAGGAAAAAGAAAATTAAAAGGTTTAGTAAATGAGGTGGAGATAGCAATTGCACACATGAAAGTGCTGGAGTCGATAGTAAATGAACTTTTGATCCTACTTTGCCATGTCAATCCTATGCATCAAAGCTTTAACATGATTTCTGCTCATTTTTATGGAAACAGTTCTTACCTTGCCTCCCTAACCACATGCTACAAAGGAAATCAGTTTTCTCTCACAGCATGTTGAAGTGGAGCTTTAATTTCATTACACGTAATAGCATTTGGGTTTAGTCATATCTAATCGACATTAAGATGTTAGATAGAAAACCTTTACCCTTCGGATGGAGCGTGAGCTTGTAATAGTTTAAAACTTTTTTTTAGTTAAGAGAAATGCATGCTAACAGCTTCAATAACATCATAACTTAAAATGCAAACTCCAAGATGAGGAGGCTGTTAACACACAGGAGTGGCTAAAGTGTGTTTTTAAACGCTCAAGTTCAAAGTTTGACAATTTTTTCTAACAGTAACCCCCATCCTGGCAAGGCGTGCCTCTCTCATTAACTGGAGTCACATCAGTAACCAACTGAAACTAATGAGGTGCTCGTTTGCATAAATAGTTACACCAGCGTTAAAGCTGGGCTCTGCCTTGGTACAAATTTCATGTTTGCTCTTTTGGAGAAGCTTTATTGAAATTCTGAGTATGAGGGGCCATCCCTGGAGTTTGTAGTTGCTGTTGGAATCCACAACATACCTGTACAGCTGTGTGCATATGCTATCTACACTTAGTTTTCTGTTGATTTAAAAATTGTTTGCATTCGGTTTGTGACCTGGGTGTTGTCTTGTGTACCATAACACAGCTGCAATGCACAAACCTTGCTTCTGTGTGTCAGCCTCAGTCCTGCAGAGCAGGTAAGAAAACTTTGATTCCAGCGCTTGTTCTTTCAACATTCGTCCCTATAAATTAACTAGTCTTATGAAACTAGTTGTTTAGGGAGAGCAAAGGAAAGCAATTTCCTTTCTGGTGTAGGGAGATTTGACTTCAGCTTCCCTTTGGTGACTGCTTCAGCAATAGCACAGAATTACACTGCTCATGTGCTTAATCATAATGATAGTCTAGGCTGCTCTTTCAGATGTGATGGCCACAAGCCAACTCTTGGGTTTTTATTCAAGACTGCAGTAAAAGATGAGGGTAGAGAGGAAAAGAATTTATTTTAAAGGCCTATATCACTAAAGAAATGGGCTCTTGGGTCTGTCATCTGTCATGTTCTGCTGCATGTCCCCTATGGACAGCTACTGTCATATCAGGGATCACAACCTAAACAGGATATGCATATAACAAAAATCTCCTGTTATATTATCACAGATCATAGACGTGTTTGGGGAATACAGAATGCTCATATTGGACGGGGACAATCAACTGGGGCACCTGGAAACAAAGGGAAAATAGTTATGTATTGTCCCAGATCCAGGATCTTTATTCAGTTGACACAATGCCCGCAGCTGGTCAGATTTAACCCAGCCTTTAGAAATAATTGGCTCCAGGGACTACTGATGGGTCTCTCTCTAAAGCCTATTTGCATTTGTATCCAGAGGCATGTAAAGGTGTAGCTGATAGGCATGAATAACTTTCTGTTGGTTT